CATCCACTACCTTAATACTAAACCTATAAATATATATGCACATAGATCTATTTCCTTATCATCATATAAAAATATATTTACATATGTTCATGCCTGTATTTCGACCTCTATAGATGCTCTTTGCCTCCTAGTTCTTTCCTCTATTTCCTTTTATAAAGTGCTTTTTTGACAGATGTTATTTGCTGATTTGTAAGAGCAATTGGGTGTGAATGCTTGTGTGTGCACATCAGCAAGTCGTGTTGATGTGGGAGGAGGACAGATTCTCCAAATAATAGGCTAATGAAATGAGTTTAGGAAAGGCCATGCACTTCATGGTGGAATTCATTTATTAGTTAATCTAGCACACGTTAAAAAAACTTTTATTTGTTTTCACAAATGTAATTGGAAATTAATGGCACATAAAGGCTCCTGTGGCCTTTTAAATTTCTCCAGCCTCATTCCCTATATCCTCCAACCTCCCTTTCTAGTCTCTCAACTTTAGCAGCTGCTTTTCATCAAAGAGGTGACCCTTCCGGTTCAGCTGATTCTGGATGCCGCCTGAGGAAGGTCTGGGCTAGACTTTCAGGGGATAGATTTATCTCCGTTTTGTCTAAGGAGGTCGACCTCCTGTGTGCCAGGGAGCTTCTCTTGAGTTAGGTGGGACAAAGTGTGTTCATTTCAGAGGTACCCAAAAGTCATCAGGCTCATCAGACTAATTGCAGACTCATCCCTCCATGTCTTTTTACATGCTGCCCCTTCTTCCGACCCTGAACCCCAACCCACAGTTAATCCTCTCTGAGCAACAGCCACGGTGCCTGGAACAATGACCTTTCATAAGCGCTATTGGACACATTCATGAAGACTGAGTGCTGTGCTTACAGACAGAGCTTTCTAAGGTATTGGTATGGTCAGGCCTTGGGTAATGGCACCAGGGAAACATGGCATTTGGAAAAGTTTTTATTTTATTGAGCGATAAGTCCCATACCAAGTGATGTATTGCAGTGGGCAAATATACTGCAAAAAATCTGTTGAAAGTGTAAAAAGCAGAGATATTACCTTGAGGACTAAGTTGTGCTTGACCTGCGCTGTGGTATTCTCTCTCTCTCTCTCCTCATTTTATTGAGTGCTCTTATCACAATCCATACATCCATTGTGTTAAGCACAGTTGTACATATGTTGTTATCATTCTTGTCAAAACATTTTCTTTCTACTTGAGCTCTTGGTATCAAGTCCTCAGTTTTTTCCTCTCACCCCTACCCTCCCAGTCTCATGAACCCTTGATAAATTATTATTATTTTCATATCTTACACAATCTGCTGTCTCCCTTCACCCATGTTTCTGTTGATCATTACCCTGGGTTGGGAGGTGGTGATGGTGTGCACCTATCATTGCGATTGGTTCCCCATTTCTCCTCCCACCTTCCCTCCACCCTCATGGTATCGCTACTCCCATTATTGTTCCTGAGGGGTTTATTTGCCCTGGATTCCGTGTGTCAAGAGCTCTTATCTGTACCAGTGTACATGCTCTGGTCTAGCTGGATTTATAAGGTAAAGTTGGGGTCATGATAATGGGTGGGGGGAGGAACCCTTAAAGAACTAAAGGAAAGCTGTATGTTTCATTGGTGCGATACTGCACCCTGACTGTTTCATCTCTTCCTTGTGACCCTTCTGTAAAGGCATGCCCAATTGTCTAAAGATGGGCTTTGGGTCTCTACTCTGCCCCGCCCCGCCCCTCACCCTGTTCGCATCAATATGATTGTTTGTTCTAGGTCTTCTGGTGCCTGATACCTGATCCCATTGACACCTCATGATCACGCAGGCTGGTGTGCTTCTTCCATGCGGGCTTTGTTGCTTTACAGCTAGATGACCGCTTGTTTATCTTCAAGCCTGTAAGACCCCAGATGCTATATCTTTTAATAGCCAGGTAGCTGTGGTATTTTCAGTCACCTTGCGTGCGTGTGAAAGTAGACAACGAGTAAGGAAGACCAAAGAAGAATTGATGCCTTTGAAATATGATGTTGGTGAAGAATATCGAGTGTACCGCCGCTTACCAGAAGAACAAATCCATCTCTCTTGGAATAAATGCAGCAGAAGAATGCCCCTTAGAAGGGGGGATGGCGACGCTTCATTTCCCACACTTTGGACATGTGATCGGGAGGGACTGGGCCCTAGAGAAAGACAGCATGTGGGGTAAAATACAGAATCAGCAAAGAAAAGGAAGGTCCCCGGGGAGATGGGTTGTGCCAGTGGCTGCAATGTATTCAAGCACAGGAATTGACAGCAAAGAGAGTGCAGGACTGGCCAGTGCTTTGCGCTGTTGTCCAATTTAGAACCAGTGATGGCGAACATCAACAGGTAACATATCATAGAGATCACCCACTTAAAAGTATAATTCCATGTTTTTTAAATATGTCTATTGATACATGGACCATCTAACCACTGTCAATATTAGAGGACAGAGAACATAGTCGTCATTTATAAAAGAAACCCTGTAGTGTTATAGCAAAGTGTAATGAAGAAATTTAGATGGTGCTTGACTAGAAGAAAAAGTAAGGTTTGGGATACTAAAGATTGTCTTAAAACAAGCAGCCATCTAACTGAGGTGGCAGCTAAGTTCACATGGAAGAAGCATAGATGTGTATGTGATCCAAGGATTGTAAATAATGAAATCCAAGGCCAGAGAAGGGAACTGCAGTCAAGTTTTAATCCTAAGCACCTGGTTTTCAGAAGGCAATGGATGACAGTGAAAACCCAAAACCCATTTGCAGAGTCCCCATGTAGATTAAGCTTCTGGAGAATTCCCTTTGACCACCGATTAGGGATATGATTCGCCTTGCTATCAGACAGAGTGTACGGAAAAGTAGATTAATGCAGATATAATTAGGTTAAAATGTAACACCTTGTCATTTATTCTCCCTTTCGACCCCTTTTGAATTTGTTCTAGTTTGTCTTGCGTTCTGTTTTCTTTTGGATTGATGATTTTTCCTGTGCTTTCTTCTGTTGTTGTTGAGGGGCTGTTATTTATAGTGAATACAAGAATGAAGAAATTATTCTAAATTGATTGTGGTGATGTTTGCCCAAGTCTTTTAAATATGTTTAAACTGTTGAATTATATGGTATGTGAGTTATATATCACTAAAACAATTAAAGTAAAAAATTACAGTATAATTTCTATTATGATAATTACAAATAAAAAAGAAACCAGG